GACCAGCTGTCCTCCTGGTCTAACAAGACCAGACCTGAACCGCAGGACCAGCTGTCCTCCCAGTCCAACAAGACCGGACATGGACCACCGGACCAGCTGTCCTCCTGGTCTAACAAGACCGGACCTGGACCACCGGACCAGCTGTCCATCTCTAAAGAAGCTCTGATTCCTCTGCTTGCTTCTGGTTTCCATGGGATTGAATCCATCAGGGCCGAAAGTCCAGGGGTCCCACCCTCTGGTTGGGGGGTTCAGGGGTGGTTGTCAAGAGGCACCTCAGACAGTGAGGGTGGCTGAAAACACCGTTGGAAAAAGGGGGTTCCAATCCGTCCCCCCCAACCTCCCCAAATCCCAATCACATCAAATCTCAACCCCACCCAACAGCACCCAGGCAGAAACGGTCGGAGAATCCCTCGGGATCTGTGGAGGAACGCCGCGTGGCACAGCGGCCCCGGTCAGTACTTGGTGGTGAAGGATTTGAACTCGAGAGCCGGGATCTCCCGCTCGTTGCTGAAGGTGGCCTTGTCGATGCGGGACATCGGGCTTCCTATCCTTCTCAGCCAGTCCTTCCTGTTGGGATGGGGAACACAGGGGTAGACCGTTACAAAAATGATCCCATCTACCCGTCCGTCCATATTCCAACTGCTCATTCCCGGAAAATTGCCCATGAGCCCAGAGGACCATTTCCCTGTCCCACAGTCCCCAGCTCCTCCTGGGGGGGGGTTCCCAGGCCAGCCGGGAGAGAGACTCCCATCCGCATGACCTCTTCCCAGTGGGCTGCGCGCAGTCACAAGAATCCGAATCGGGAATTCCTCTTCTCCCGTGTCCCAGATGGAAAAGCGTCCCGGGCCGTGCCCCCCCAGGAGGAGGCATGTCCCAACGCCCGATCGAGAAGAAAGCAGAGTGGCTGCGTGGGGGGAAAAAAAAAACAGGGGACAACATGCAGACTCCACACAGTCAGGCATCTGCCCAGAATCACACAGCTGGGGAAACTGCTGGTTGAGTGTGACGCCTCCCTCCATAAAAATATGAACCCTAATTTGTCCAGGAATTCTCTCTGCCAAGTGAGTCGCGGGGGTGCCGAGAGTCGTCAGCCAGGTCAGGCTTGGACAGCACGAGGTGCGCCGCGGCTCATCCGCGCGGGGGACAGGGGTCAGATCTCGCGTTGCAAGACCGGGTGCTGGGCGGGGGGCCAGGACGCTAACGGGACAGGCGCACCGGGGGCCTCGGAGGAACGTCTCCCGCGAATCCGTCTGAGAGACAGTGGACGACAAGCGAAACACCTGCGGACAACAGTATAAATGCTAAGGGGCGGGGGGGGGGGCTCTCCTTTACACTAAGAGAGGCGGATGTCTGGAACGAGCAATCCCCCCCCAAGGATAAGTTGCTGAGGCGAATCCTCTGGGTGTCCTTCAGGAAGCGATTGGGAGAGGTGTCCGGATCAATACGTTCCCGAACAACGAAATGATCCCGGCTCTGCGGCCCAGTTCTGCAGCTGGGTATAAATACTTACTCAAAGTATCCCTGGCAGCGTGAAAGAAAGCTATAACACGAAAAAGGTGACAAAGAGACCCCACACACACACACACACACACACACCACAGAAAACTGAATTCTTGTTGTTTCAGAGGTTTCTGAACTGGAAAAATGAGCCTTTCAGTGAAGACTCCAGGAGGAGGTTTGTGAGAGATACTGGGAGAGGCGGAATATTTCTGAAACCCGACTTTACGCAGGAGTATGATACAGGCAGACTTTCTACTCATTTAGACTTGGAATGCTTGAGCTTGTGAGATGACTGGACACACTTTTACCGGTTACCTTTGTATGTTAATGAAAAATACGTTAAAAACAGGCAGCCAGCGCACAGCGGGTTAACCCCCTCCTGCAGCCTGCGACCCACTAAACAGGGATATATTTAAAAAATCGCGTTCCGAGAGAAGCTTCCCCGGACGGCCTATTTCTGGTGCCTTCCCTCTCCTTCTCTCCTTTTCTGCCTTTTTCCTCCCAACAGGCCGCTCAAGGTCACCGCGCCCCAGTTTGGACTGGAACACAGTCGGCTCGAATGAAACCAGGACAGGGGCTGGGGGAGGCGGTGACTGGGGGGGGGATGTGTGTGTGTGCGCGTGCGCGCTCGGGGTTAGCACACGTGTCTGTGTGTGTGTGTGTGCTAAGAGCAGCCACCTGACGTGGGGAGACACATCTCCCGGTTCCGGCCACTAACGAGCCGCTAACGAGGTGCTAACGAGCGTCTCTCTCTCTCGCAGGGGCCCGGGTGGGTAGGACTGTTGTGATGAGGACGAAACAGGCCCGCAGATGGCCCCACTCCTGAAACACGGCAGCCCAGTTCGGCCTCCTGCCCTCAGACGGAGGTTGCTGTTGTAGCACGCAGGCCACACACACACACACACACGCGTGTGCCAGGCTGAGGGATAATAATTATAATGTTGGTATATAGCGCCTCTCAAGGTGAGGTTTGAGTGCGGCTCTGTGCGGACTGCTAGCTAGCTCATCCACAGACCTGGAGGGGCAGGCTGGGCGAACCAGGGTCTCGAAAGGAGGGCAGTGGGGGCAGTACAGCCCCGGTCCTGCAGGGGGCACTGTGTCAGCAGCGGGTACTAGGTCTCACTAAAGCAGCATTGCCTGTAAAGGCTGGGATGGAGCCAGTTACCGACACACACACACACACACTGGACACACGGGACTCGGACAGGACACCCAGCTTGAGTCCAGGCCCATCGCCCTGAGTGCGTCCCGCAAAGCACCGCGTGCGGCCCTGCCCCAGATCCCCGCCACCCAGTGGGACTGCCGGCCCAGCCCAATTAACAGCCCCTCTAATTGGAATCAGAACGAGGCGCCCCCACGGAGGACCCCTCGCCCCGGAATGCAGGCCCTTGCCTCAAAACGCCGCTTCCTGTCACGCCCACCCCCTCCCCCAAACTCCAGGAAGGGGGACTTGATCTCTTCGGTCGCCGTGGCCGCCTTCGTCTGAAGAGGCAGGTTGAAAAATGTGGCGCGCCCAAGCCGGGACCCACAATTTCACCCCCAGCGGGGTGGGCTGCGGTGGGCCGGTCTCGTCTCGACGACCCCGCTAATTAGCAATTAAAGAAACGAGGAGAGGGCGGCGGCAGGGGCTCTGGAAAGCGCCGCGCTGGGAGCTGTTTAAATTAATCCGTCAAGGATCCGGGCGCGTCGCCAGAGAGCTATCCTCATTTTCCTGGAGGGGGGGGGGGTGGAGACCCCCCTACACCCCCAGGAGTCATCCGAGCGGAGAGCAACAAACGCCTCGTCAGGCATCCAGGCATGTCTGCGCCAGGCGGAGGAAGAGAGGGAGGACTCCAACACCATCGCGCTGGAAGCGAAAGGCTTCACGCTTCAGAATGTCTCCGGTCGCACGGCGCCCTCTAGTGGCCCCCCTCGGGATACACAGCCGCAGGCCCGAGGCGGAGAAGCGCTCTCGGCTCTGCAGGAAGCAGGGTGTGTTCTCCCCCCCCCCCTACCCCAGACCCCCGGTTCTCTCCCCTGTGACCCCTCATCCCTCAGCGGGAGGCCCTGCCACATGAACCTCTCATCTATAAGGCTTTACATGGCTTGGCACCTCAATACCTGTCTGAACTTTTATCGCCCTACTCCCCACCTCGCAACCTCCGCTCTTCGAATTCTGCCCTCCTTACTGTCCCCCCCAAGCCCCGTCTACATTGTAGGGGTGACAGGGCCTTCTCCTGTTATGCCCCCAAGCTCTGGAACTCTCTGCCCAAGGATATCAGAGAGTCACCTTCTCTAAACTCCTTCAAATCCAGACTCCAAACCCTCTTCTTCAGAAGAGCCTTTACTGAACTGGTTCCATTCTTCA